TTAATTAAGTTAATATTCGTTGTTTAAGTTTCATTAGATAGGTTTTTATATATGGTTTTTTGTAAGTTTGAGTTTTGTTCATAAATGATGTGGCATTTTTATCTACGGCATCATCGACTGTGGGAATTCATTCGCCGAAGTCTGGAGTCGGTGGTGAGGAATGTTTTCAATGAAATTATAGTAGTTATTAAAATGTAAGAGAAATTACATATTCATTTAATAAATAACAAAAATACTTAAAATTTGTTGTTTATTTTATTTTATTTCACATACAAATTTTTTGAAAATATATTAGGAATGAGTTAAATGTTATTTATATGCGAAGTAAGGTTTATATGAATAGTTAGGCTATAATATAGTTTTTAGTGTGTAAAAGTAGGTGTTTTTTTTTGCTGTAAATAGTTTTTATATCGTAGGTCAAAACTTGATTTATCAATTTGAAAATAACCTTAATTAAGTTAACATTCGTTGTTTAAGTTTCATTAGATAGGTTTTTATATATGTTTTTTTGTAAGTTTGAGTCTTGTTCATAAATGATGTGGCATTTTTGTAAGTTTGAGTCTTGTTCACTTTTTGAGTTCTTAATCTATATTATTCAAGCCTCATTAAGCCATCCACGTAGGTAGCCGCGTGGGATTCATTTTTTTTTTTGGTCGGTTCGTTTTTGGATTATTTTTTTATTATTTTTGGGTTGAACTATATTATAATAGGATAGTTTTAAGGCTCTTTAAGCCATCCGCGTAGGCAACCGCGTGAGACTTGCTTTTTTTTTGTTTTTTTATTGTTCGTTTTTGCATCCATTTTTAACGAAGGTGTTTTTTTATTGTTCGTTTTTGCATCCATATTAGGAATGAGTTAAATGTTATTTATATGCGAAGTAAGGTTTATAGGAATAGTTAGGCAATAATATAGTTTTTAGTGTGTAAAAGTAGGTGTTTTTTTTTTGCTGTAAATAGTTTTTATATCATAGGTCAAAACTTGATATAATGCTATATTTATAGTATTTATATTTGTATTAAACGATTTATCAATTTGAAAATAACCTTAATTAAGTTAACATTCGTTGTTTAAGTTTCATTAGATAGGCTTTTATATATGTTTTTTGTAAGTTTGAGTCTTGTTCATAAATGATGTGCCATTTTTGTAAGTTTGAGTCTTGTTCACTTTTTGAGTTCTTAATCTATATTATTCAAGCCTCATTAAGCCATCCACGTAGGTAGCCGCGTGGGATTCACTTTTTTTTTTTGGTCGGTTCGTTTTTGGATTAATTTTTTATTATTTTTGGGTTGAACTATATTATAATAGGATAGTTTTAAGGCTCTTTAAGCCATCCGCGTAGGCAACCGCGTGAGACTTGTTTTTTTTTTTGTTTTTTATTGTTCGTTTTTGCATCCATTTTTAACTATTTTTTGTTTGAACTCATTAATCTTTAGGGTTTATCCAACTATTTTGATCTTTAAAACAATAAGCCATAAAGAAAAAAACATAAAAACCTTACAAACAAAAAGCCTATATGATAATAACCCAAATAAAAAAATCAAAAATAAATGATGGCTGCATGGTTTGAACTCACGATCTTGCATGCTTAATTAGACATTTTATACCACTTGGCTAAAGTGTATTTCATTGTTTGTAATCATCTTACCAAGACTATAAGTTATTAAAAAATATATACGGGACCCACAAAACTGCTGACGTGGCGCGTTGTGAAGCCTAGAAAGTGTACTATTATAATATAGATTTATATTTTGCTCGGTTGTATTCATTATACAAAAATCCCCAAATTTGTTTTGGCAACAAATCAAATACCTAACATCACCTAAGCCTTATTAGTTATTAGTTATTACCCTTTGTTCACTTAGGTAATGTTAGTGGAGCCGCTGAGTGGCCAATAGTCTGGTAGTGGCTATCAGTAAGCCGTCGTATGCAGTTAAATATGTGTTAATAGAGGCAAAACCTTAAAAGTTGAGTCTACATTATACCGAAAACTAGTTAGTTATTTAAACCTCGGCAAACTCCGCATACCTTTATAGTGATACTAGCATTTTTCAACCTTGTAGCGTAAGTTTGCAAGAGTCCAACGAGCGCGGGAGTGTGATCGTGAAAGACTTAAATGTTGGGTTTGGTTGTTACTTCTTAGAATTAAAAGATGTTCTTCGGTAATTTTGAAGGAACTTGAACTCATACTAATTATCTTCTGTTACATTAGGTTCTTGTCATTTATACATTGGTACTTTTACTTTGCATATCAAAAACTCCAAACTGTTAAAAATTAAAGGGAAATTTGCCAAAAGAGGACTAAAAACCACAACTATTGTCCCATTAGAATAAATTTCATGATTCATGTCCCCTAAGAATAAACTATAATGAAAATCCAATTTAGTCCTTAGTATTTAAATTTTTAAAATTTTCAGAAAGCCGATATATATTTATAGTATGAGAGCATTAACAATGAATGACAATGACTTTGCTGGTAAACTACCTCTACTTTCTCCCTCTAAACCTGGGTTTGAGCCTCCGGGTATGCAAGTATTTTTTTTTTAATTCGAAGTTCTGGATATTGATTACTGGTTTACAAAACTATTCAAGGTTTTTATAGGGATTTTGTACGAAAATTGACAATGCAAATCATAGGGTTCATCAATCGTTGACGGTGTAACTTGAATCAGAGAGCAATACAATATCATTTAGGTTTGAAACAGTGACAAAAAACCATACCCTAAGCTCCTATCTCTTATTTGAATCTTTGTACTTTGTTAGAAAGAAATACTATTTTATAATTTTGCAGATTTTAAAGTTAATAAAATGTAAATGTTATATAGTAATTTTCTTTTAAAAGAACAAAAATCATGTTACAAAAATCTTGGTAAATCCATACCCTAAACAATAATGAAACCCTAAACCCTGCCTGAGTAAAGAAAAATTAAAAAATGTTGTTACTCTTGGGATTCGAACCCATTACCTAATGGATCTTTTTCCATATTGTATTCCATTGACCTAAAACGAACTGTTGCTTTGTGTGGATGAAAAAAATATTTATTCTCCCCCTCCTCTATCCTAATTTGAGAGTTACTTACGTATATCATCTACCATAATTTGGCCACTTTTCCTCATCGTCTTTCTTTCTTCTTTTCGAAAAATATGGCGAACATGAACAACATTGAAGGAATCCCTCGCAGATGCTGGTGTGGGAGCGGGAGTGTCACTTACGTTTCAAAAACAGATGAGAATCCATACCGACGGTTCTTCAGATGTGAGATTGCTTTACAAGTAAATGTCATATATAAATACTTATCAATTCTTCTGTGTTGAGACTTAATTTGTTTTCTGTTCCGAAT